ACAAAGATTTGGGGGAAATCTTTTCAAATCCTCCTCCGAGAACTTCATGCACAGAAAAGAGAAGGAACAAGGTAATCAAACAGTTGCTACAGGAAGAGAAGGTGACAGTGTGACCTAATTGTGGCCTTCCAGTACCTAAGGGAGCCTACAAAAAAGAGGAACAGAGACATTTTATAAGGGCATGTAATGACAGGACAAGGGGGAACAGCCTTAAACTAAGGTTTAGATTAAATATTAGCAAAAAATTCTTTACTGTGAGGGTGTTGATTTTCCAATTTCTTTTCCATAGTGGAATTTAAATGAATAATCATGAAAAAGATTGTACGTGCAGGAAAGGTTTACACACATATGTAACACAGTGCTTCGATCAGCTCCTAGGCTCTCTGTACTTGAGTTCCCTCGAGGAAAGCTCTGCATTTCATCAACTTCCTGCCTTCCATAGAGCTGTTGCCACATTGTTTCACATGGCTTTTCCTCTGCTTCAGAAAGTAAAGTCAGACTGACAGAATTAAAAATACAGGGCCTCTTTAAGGTACCCTTGCATAATTGAGCCCTTCTGGGGCAAAAAAAAGGTTCCTTCATAGATTTGTTTCTGAACCTCAGACACAAAAGCAAAAATATCTTTTACATGTCACGTGTACCACAGCATGTTTAGTTTTCCTCTAGAGAAGAGATGCTTATTTGTCTTAAAATGCTACATCATAACAAGGTAAGATAAAAATGCATTTTCTAGTGGGTTGGCCAAAACAATCTTCCAGTGCTCTACTAGCTCTAATGTGGACCTCTCTATTTGTATACACACACCTCATATGCATAAAAGGCTATTTCAATACCTGCACTTTTCATGACTGCACAGTAAACTCTGCTCTGATGTCTTACTATTCCACAGTATCAAAGGGCAGGAAAATTGTAATCCTGTTCATAATTTCCACAGTTTGAAGCATATATTAGTTATTTCCATAAGCACATAAATGATGAAAAGGTCATATCACCTACAGTGGTGATGATATTGGCAGGCAACAGTGATGTTACATCATTTAATTTGCCTTCTTTTTGTAAAGATGAGTTCGTATAAACATCTCAGTTGAGGATTCACAAAATATCCTCAGTTGGAAGGTGGAAATTTGTACAGAGTATAGATGGAAGTAACCTTCCTTCTGAAATTTGATTCCTACCCATGACAAGGCTAAATAAGTAATCAATACCAGTGGAGCGTTCTACTCCCCTGCTTTGCAGGTTTCCACCAACAGTAAACTTTAGATGTATGGAAGAGTGCATCTGTGTGCATCCTGATGAAACTAATCCATACTCAGCCACCATTAACAGCAAGATAACAATCAAAATGAAGAGCTGGTGTGATGATTGTGTTTACAGAACATCCTAAAGGCAGACAGGAAAGATTGAAATTCTGTAAAACTAAAGTTTACTCCATCTTTTCTTATCATCAAGAGTAGTTTGCAGAAAGCAGACTGACTATTTTTAATTGACATTCTGAACCCAAGGAATAATTAGGGGTCAGAAATGCCTCTTTTCTTGAATGGAACATAGAGGAATGGTTTCGAACCAAAGTACATGAAGCTTAGTCAGGAACCTAAAGGAGTAACAACCCAGTACTGCACCTTCAGTGGAAAGCAGTTCAAAATGCACCTTAGAGAAGTTTGAATAGAGAGTCACAAGAATACATTTTCTTGGTTGATTACCTTGCAACAGCCCTATGACAAGCTAGCATGTCCTCGCTCCTCGGGATCTAAGTCTACTCCAAGTACAGAAGATTGCTCACTGCTGGTGAAGATTGCTCACTGCTGGATTTCAGAAAACATCTGGCTAAGTCCAACTTCTTCACTACAGTCACTGGACACAAGACAAGTAAAGGAATTATAGTGGGGTCACTTCCTTAACTACCTCTTGGAAAAGCCTCCCAGCTTGGGCAATCATCCAGTTGGTAATTCCCCTCTCTAGTGCAGAATCTCTTCGAACAGTGGAGACGGAGCCCTGTCCGTGGTGCTCAGCTACAGCCCCATGCCACCAGGGATGCTGCTGTGCTTGCACCTGGTTATGAAACACCAGGCAAGGCCAAAAGGAATCAAAGAGAAACTGAAAACAAAGTAGACAGCAGTCCAAAGGAAAAGCAAGCAAACAAACAAAAAACTCCAACAGAAACCTAAAACAAAGGCCTCATACTGTTGTCAACAAAGGTGTATTAAGATTAATGGGCTTTCACCTGAGTCTATGTAAAGATACTACTTTATAGGCTGACAGCAGAAACCACTGTAAACTACAAGGTGCATATATATATATATATATATATATATATATATATATATATTATATATGGATTGAGACGATACCCTGAAATACCACCTGCACTTAGCATCAAAACACTTAATCTCCTTACAGCAAAATGAATTGCTGAATATCTCAATGTCTTGGAGAGGTATAAATGCAATAAACAGATGAGCATCACTTGACGAGACCAGAGATCTCTCACAGACAGCATTTCACTCATATCCTTTGCAGTGAGTTGTTTTCATATTATTAAAAGGTGTAATAACATATCCTGAGGAGTCTGGATGCTGTTCCAAAAATGCCTCTACAGACTATATTGTACATCCACACTGTTTGTACCATCATGTGAGAAAACTCCATGACTGCAGATGAGAAAATATTTGCTCTCCAAGCTTGACAGCTGTGATACAATGGTACTTAAGTGCCATAGGAGAAGGCTGAGTGCACACCCCTTAACTGCAGTGAGTAAGGGAATAATCCTGCCAGATTGCAAGGGCTGTTCTCACCCTTACAATGGAGTATAAACAAGGGGGAAGAAACCTTTTTTTCAGAAAATAAATTCATCTTAGGTTCCAAACAGGATATGCTCACATACTAGAATACAAACTAAAACTTATATTTGTGACAAAGTTTAGCTCAACAGCATATTGCATTGTGTTGAAAATTAGACCATTAGGAAAGAAAAAACATTCATTACACACTATGAGTTGGGCAAGAATCCATGGAAAAATATAAATGCTTTAGCCTGATTTTCCACCCAGTTAATCAGTACTGAAGCCAATGGAATCATTGTATAATTAAGCAGATTTCTGTAAAGAGCTCATAACAGTTCACACTGCTTTAATAACCTCCCCATGTGTCAAAGAAACTGAAGAAAGTTTCAAGACTGTAACCTCCCCATGTGTCAAAGAAACTGAAGAAAGTTTCAAGACTGAAGGAAAATTCAAGAAACCGTATCAAGCCATTTAGAAAATATGAAAATTGATAGCAACATGTAATATCATGGTGATGACAGTCACAAGCATTTTACAGCATCAGAATATTGTATCTCATTAATAAGAAGCGTGACCATATTTTCTCCTCACTTTGGAAGTAAAAAAAGCACAAGAGCATGTGGTATGCATAAGAATTACTCTGTCATGCATCATATTAAGAGTCACATTCATATACAATAAAAAATGCTAGTAACTTGTTTCATATAGCAGTACCATTTTTAACTACATACATTATGCATAGAATCTCATGTTTGACAAGAAAAGAGCTAAAGAAATACTGCCTGAGACACTGGAGAAAACTAATACACTTGTTATACATTTTATTGCTTTATAGATCTTTAATGTGTTAATAACACACATACCCTCAAGAGCAGAAGTTTACCACTGTATGAGAAACTAAAGTTAGGCAGTGAGATGTACCAAGCATGACTACAAAAAGGACAATAATCATTTCGTTATTGAAAAGGCAGACAAAAGTGCAAAATCAAAGTGATAATTAAGGACAACAATGACATCTAGTGGATACTCGGAAAACTGACCCACAGCCTAACAGGTGAAAGGATCCAGCTGCCGTTCTTCAGAGACTGTGCAGCTCCCAAATTGCTATGATACAATTATGAAGACGGAAAGGCAGAATTTACAGCTGATAAATGTCAAAAAAATGTGATGATATATTTCTTCAAAAGAATATTTAATTAATTAAATAGAAATAAAAGACATCAAGAGCCTTCCATTTAAGATTTAGGATAAAACTGTAAGTCAAAACTTGAGAGACTATCACAAATCATTGAAAGGATATAGACACATAATGCTAACAGACATCTCTACTACACTATTTTTTACTCCCATAGGATCTACAGCTTTCTACTTACAACTTCCTCTTGGGACTTTGGATTGTTAGGATGGAAAACCAAAGTGAAAAAAATAAAAATCCCAGAAGTAAAAATTCAAGCCACAATTTAGCAGCACCCTTTTCTCATCACCCCAATCTTTCTGTTGTTGTAATACTTGCCATGTAAGGCTGGTAAATTAAACCTTCAAAAAATACCAGCCAATAACTGCTGAGCTCCAGAGAAGAGGAATTTGAAACATGAGGCTACCCTGACTCAGAATGAGCAAAGATACCTGCTTATAAGTAACACAATTAGTTTCCAAGGTGGATGTATAGCAAGATCATGGATTATTTCACTGATAACCAAAAGCTAAGCAAAACTAAGCACTTAATTCAAATCTTATCACAGTTGTGACTAGAAGCATCACCATAAAAAAACTGGATTTCATATTTTTTTAAATAAGAAACACTAACAAAACACTACAACTCTGTCTTATTCAAAATCTTAAACCGATCTGAAAAACTGAAAATTAGATTTTGCTTCATATTGTTAAAAAACTGCATCCCATCCAAAATCTTTATATCTCAGTGACTGTCCAGTATTAAAAAGAAAAAGATTAGAAACAATACTCAGAAGTAAAATGTAATTTATTAACATATTCAATTATAATTATGTTTGGTAAAAGTCTGATTAAAAAAAAAAAAAACAGAAACTAGTTTACTAAATTTTCAAGATAAAAACTAAAAGCAAACACCAACATAAAACCAGCCATTTTCCCCCTTCAAGCACAATGCCATATTTTACCTCAAAAAACCACTTTATTACATCATATGTCCTAACAAGAGAGAACTGTTTTAAGATAGAATGCAAAGCATCATTGGCTTACCCGAATTTCCTGAAGATTATGAAAATTATTTCCTACTCTGACAGAGATCTTGCTTGGAGTGTAACTTTCATCAGATTTGTAGTCTGCATAAATACATAAGGTCTTCACTGTTGTTTTTCTTCTGCAAGAAGCAACACAAGCTATGTAAGCATCATAAAGAAAAATATTCAGGATGAGTTTGTTGCTAGTTTGCAATAACTAAGGATTTAAATGTTCTGAAAATGAAAGTAAGTGTATCTAGTGATTCATAAGAAACTTGCTGTTGAAGAACTAGGTGATTTTCCATATTATATTATGCAGTTGATTTTCACCATTCTCTTTTGCCTGCCTTCAGAAACGTTGGTATACCAAGAAACAGATGCCAAATAAGCACTTGTCCATAATGAAGCTTTAAGTTAGGCTTTTCAAATATGGGCTCTCTTATTGGACCAAGGCCTTCTCAAGAAAGTAAATAAAAAAGGGGGAAAAACATCTCATTTCAAGTTGTGTTAAAGTACTGAAAGCATCCTACACAGGATGGAATAAAAAAATGATTCTCAAACTCATTTGTTGGGTATCATAGGAGTCATCTACCCTCCAAATGACACTCAAAGACACAAAATCAGGACATAAGTCACCTTACATGAGTAAATGTGATGCTGAAACTGACACACCATTAAACATTCCTTTTCGTTGCTTATTTAGACATTTAGTGATCATAACATTTGAAAATCTAATTTTTAGAAATGCTGACTTCTTGCCAGTTGGGTAACAGAACTAACCCAGGAGTTCTTGCATTTCCAGAAACCCTATCTTGTTGAACAGTAATCAATACAAAGTCACACAAAGCACCTTAACCCACAGAGAGCATATTTTAATACCTAAATTGGATGTTCACCAAATGAGGCTGTGATCCATCTGACTGCCAGTAAGTTTCTAGATTATCATCTCGTAACTGATCCACTCCAAACCCTAAGAAAAAGAAAATGTGATAATCTTGAACTTCCCATTTCTGTGATGCAAATGTAGCTCTTCTTCAACTGTTACAAATTAATGTCTCCCAAGTTATAACATATTAGGAAATATTTCTAGATATCCAAGGTGCACCTATGCTTTTCTGACATGAAACTGAAATAGGGGAATCTGCAGAAGTTCAATACTGTTGAGTTCTGTGGGGTCCATGTCAACATGTCCTGGAATTTCAAGTGGTTAAGCAGTAATTCATATTGGTTGCCAAAGCAATAATTAACAGTTAGATTTTTCCACTTCTGTAACTTAACTGCTAAACTAAAGAAAAATCATTAGCCGAGACCATTCATTATAAAATTTTAGCCAAATGTAACATTTTCTTTTCAAGTCATGTGCTGAAATATTTTTGCTTTTTCACATACTAGCTAGAACAGGCAACAGATGGCAAAAACAGTATTCCTATAGGTTAATGCATCACATTTGAAGAAGAAACTCCAGCTATGTACTTTCTGTGCCCTCGTTATCCTTTTACTAATCATATCCTTTTATTGATTCTCCACACTAGTTGCAGTTCCAATATAGCAGCTGAAGTTTCATCTGCAAAAAAAAATTTCCTTCAGTCTTTTTAAGCAACAAAACCATGAGACATTTTTCTCCAATATTCCAGGATTTCAGACCAAAGTCATTCAGCCTGAGCACAATATTGTGACATAAAGGGATCATTAATCCTAGGCTGCAGCAAGACAACTGATCAGTTCCCCACAGATATTTCTGAAATAGAAACTCAACCACCCCAAAGGGAAAGAATACAGATTTTCAGATATTTTCAGCAGGTATCACTAACTGCTCAGGACCACAGGTTCATTTTACTTGCAGGGTTTTAGGGCCACCCTGTAACACCTGAGCCCACAGAAAGTTAAAAAGTTCAGGCAGAACATTTAGGTCACCCAGCAGCATGGTCATCCTTAGTTAAAAATGGAAGACACCCAGACAAAATGCCAAAGCATAGAAACAATTTCACTTGTGCTGCATGTGATTCTGTTCACATGGCTTAGTTTGTTCACTAAATTAAATTTAAAAATTAAATTTAAAAAAATTAATATAAAGTATCTAGGAGTTTAGTTCATATCAGATAGTTCCTCATAGGATTTCTGACACAGTTATAACTCTCATATTGTGTAGAAGGCCAACATTATTTGTAATAACTACAGTTAACACTACAGCAGTTTTACTGCTGTGGATGTCTTCCTCCCAAAACATAAATATACATTCAACGTTTTACATCGTTGTTGTGATTTACCTGGCTTACAGGATGAAAGAGACCAAACTGCTTGTGAGCCTATTTCTCTAACAGTACCAGTCCTCTCTAACTGCTTTGGATCAGCACCAGGTGGGGTCTTGTTTGGGGTAGTCATTTCTAGTGAGAGAAAATAAGTAAGTTAGTTGACATATTGATGGGAAAATGAAAGGATTTTGTTTGTTCACATAGTCAGTTTGATTATTTGGCCTCAGACTTTTATAACAGCCTACAGGATATGTGGTTTATACACATACATATATATTTTTGCATGTCTGTAGAACATTTTATTTTTATATATATATATATATATGTAAAGTAATATGTATAAATAAATAGAATATATATGAGTAATATATGTAAGAGGTTCCATACATGTAAATTTTGTGTCTATAAGGATTCAATACATGCCTGCAATATTCATAAGACATATTTTAATTGTATCATTCCAATTTATGCACAGAGTTAGTCAGGGTTTCAGAATTTTATAGTTCTGTTTTTTAAGAAATTAAAATTGAAAATGTTGATTTAAAGGCTAGCAGTACAACCTCATTCTCTCCCACAGATACACTCACAAGTTCTCTTAATCTACAAATTCAAAAACTAGAGCAAGAGATACTTCTCCCCTAAAACAGGAAATGGGAGTTTAAACAAATTGTATGATTTGTAACAATTGGTTATAGCTACATTTATTCACAGACCATTTCCTGAACTTTACAACTTCATCTGGAATCATGAACTCATGACTTGCACTGTTCAAGCAATCACACTCAGCCTCAACACCCAGACTATCACCACATATACAACAACTTAGTTAAGCTGGGTTTTGTAAAGTACAGAGCACTTTACTATTTCCTATGAAGTAGCTTAAAATATATTTTTTAAAATTCAAAAGAAACATAAGTTCAACAAAAAGAACTACATTAAAGCTTAAAATTAAACATAGAGCACTAAAGAGTCAGAGAATTAGAGCTGATCTCCCATCCTTTGCTTACATCCATAACATCACATCATGCTCTGCTAATCACAGAAAAAGTCTTCCAATGCCTCTCCCGGACAGCAAATAAGGGACTGAGTTAGGCTGGGACCCACAGGATTCACACCTTACCTACCACAGAACTGACACGAGGCAGAAACAACATTTTCTCTGTGCCAATGACTCTGCAGCTAAAAATTCTTTGTGGGACACAGGAAATCTGAATTCTCTAGCACGCCAAACACTTTCTATTGGCCCTTGAATAGTTTTTTTAATTTTGCAAACATAAGGCTTGACACAGATATTTTAACCTGCTTTCTCATATACAAGACTGCAGTCCTAACTACCATAAACAAAATCTGAAGAAATAATTGACTGTGTAGAAATATCTAAATACTGACAACAGTGAGTGTCACAAAAGGCTTCAGACAAAATTCTTGTTCAAACACCATCCTCTCAGAAGAGACATTGGACACTACACAGCTAATCTGACAGATGTCATATATATATTCACAGACATATTAATTATAATGCTATCTAAATTTAAAAAAAACTCAGAAAAAAATTACAAAACATTCAGTTCACAGCTACTTGAAAAACAAACATATTTCACAGAATCACAGAATGGTTTGGAGTGGTGGAAGGGACCTTCAAAAATCATCTAGTCCAACACCCATGCTGCACCAAAATTCAAACTATGTTTATTAAGCACTGGAGAGACTATTATCCTGGACTTGTGAATTTTAAAGCTCAAATTACCTTCTAATCCAAACTCTGAGCAATTTTTTTCTTTACTTTTGTGATAGTGAAGAGAGGTTGAGTTGCATTCATTTTAATTCTCAGATTTACACAGACACCACAAATACTGTTTTCTGACCTCTAAAAATATACATAGAAAATTCAACCTCACAAAGTAAAGCTAAATTGTTCTGTTGTAATCCAAGTGATCACATCTCAAAAACATCCTAGAAAACATCTTTTGAATATTATCACCAGTAAGTCTTGACACTCTTTTGACTTCAAGAGAAAATGAATGAAAAACTCCAAATCCCACTCTTAAAGACACAAGGACTATGTAAACATCCCATCAAAATCCACCAAAACAAGGTAAATCACAGAAATTACATTGTCCACTCTGATTGCACCACAAAGTTGATTACATATGCTTTTAGAAAAAAAAATTACTGGAACTTTCAAAGAATACCTTAAGATAATGATGTTGAGCTTTCTCATAAGCTTCAGCACACAGAGCAAAGTCCTAAATAACTTAATAATGCAAGATCTTGTATTGCATTGGTTCTCAAAAGTTGGAGGCATTACATTTTGGGGTTGTGAAATACAAAGCAAGAAACACCATTCAAGTTTCCTACTGTTTTAAACTGAGCTTTTTTCTTTTTATCTAACAGGAAAAGATTCTCAAACCCCAAAATTTCAACTCCAAACCACTGCTGGCAAATAGATCAGCCACATATTGTGTACTAGTGATGAGAAAGCCTGAAAATTTTCAATGGTTGAACTAAATTTGAGATGATTTTGAGTTTTCATGACGGAAGTCTTGCTCAAGAACAACACATTCTGGATAGGTTTGCTGAAGCTCCCCAATACTCTCACAACTTTAAAACCTGAAAGCTGATAGAAGTACTAAGGAAAAATTATGTAGCAACAGGCAAGCTCACTCAAGTAACACTTCTGGACATTGTACTAGCAGAAGTAAAAATATTTCATTTTAAATGAGACATCAATACTTAGCTCTAAAAGGAATTTAAGTCACCTAATAAATTTTCTTTGCATTTTTAGGCTGTATAAAAAAAAGTAATTTTTTTAGAAGGCCTTCTCCTTTATATGTGCTGAAAATGGAAAGACATACTATATCTTTAGAAGCATTGGCTGGAAACATCTCTGATTTTTCAATTCAGTTATTCCAAATAATATTCAGTTATTCATTAACAGGCTGCTGTTTCCTTGTTAACAGCATGAATATATGAATGTCTTCACGACATGATCAAGGCCACACTTTCATTTTGCCATTTTTCACTCTTCGGTTTGCACATCCTTTGATCAAGACAAAGCAGCAGTTTTCCCACCCATCCTTGAACTCTTTATCCCTCATCTTTCTCACAGAAGTTCTCTTTTCCAGGAAACATTCCAGCCCAGTAACAGCCAATTGCAGATGTTTTAGCAAGCACAGTTGATGAAGAGAGTGAAATGGATTTAAATGGTTGGACAGTCTGCCTTCCCCAACCAAACCAGCCAGGCTGTTCTCAGGGTAACAGCAGGAGACACCTGAAGGGTGCACACCTGGAAGCAAACCCTTGTGGAAGCACACACTACATCCAAGAGGAGCTACCGTGCCTTTCCTACTAAAGCCCCATAAAAATCCAGGCTCAAGGAAACTTGCAGATTCCAAAGCAGTTTTCCCGTATTAAAACTTGCAATTCCACCATGTTGTATGCACAGAACTACTTAAATACACACCTGTAATGGCCCTTGAGAGACTTGACTGTGCCTTAGAGATGTCTGTCCAGACACTTACTTCTCCAGCAAAAGATTTGTAGACACTCAGCTTCAGGTTTCATCAACCTAAAAGCTAAAGGTTTTCCTTCAGCATCTAAATCATGTATCACCATCTAAAAACAAGCATATCTTGATCTACAGAGAACTCAAAAACTTGTTAATCACTGGCCTTTACACAGTAACCCTTCCACTGATGTGAAGGCACTAGTTTCTTCTTTTCTAGAGTGTCTATGCCTTTCAAGCTCCCCTCACAAAGCGTAATAAACCTAATATTCTTGCAGAGGCTAGATATCCAGCACTGTTTACAAAAACAACCAGACTATTTTAGCTAAGGCACTTTTTCAGCAAAGTAATCACTTCCCTTGCTTTTGTATTTACTCACACTTGTTAAATGTGACAAAGCAACACCTGGATAGTTGAAAAAACATAATTCTCAATTAATATTGGTCTTACTCTGCATTACAGTGCTCAAATGCACTATAAATGCCCAATATTTTTTGGGATACTGTTTGCTGTTCACTGACACCTTTCCCACCAATCAGGCCTTTGATTTTTTTATTCCTGTGTTCTCCTCCTCTCTCAGTTCCTGTTAACTGAGCTTAGTTACACTGATTTCCAACCTGCGACCAAGCTTCTCAAGGTGGTTTTTAATTCCAGCCCTTAGCTGCACAGTGCTTGCAATCCTTTCAAATTTGTATTCCACATTCCAGGAAACAGTGAAAATACACTCAAAACTGAACTCTCCAGTAGTATGTTTCATGACACTGCTGTTTAAAAGTGAGTCATTTACAAGTCAGATTCAAAAGCTCTTAAAAAAAGATCTTTAAAAATTAATTATTTTTAGAGCACACTTCAGTACCTTGAACTATGGCAGAACTCCTGTAAAACTCAAGGCAGACTTCCTCATATTCCCCCCTTATTAAGTGCATTGTCTACTGTAAAAAAGAAAGGTTGAGCCAGACCATTCTCAATGAACCACACTAGAATATTTCCTGTGTGCACACTGATTTTAATTGTCCTGTACTTACTGACAAATTCCCCTCCCAAACCACCTCCTCAGAATCATTCAGGGAATCAGAGATCATCTGGCTTTTCTGTCTTTTAAAAATGTTTTTAAGAAGTGTTACTCTGACTGCATTCCAATAATATAATTTTATCCAGTTTTAGTAAATATCTGACTATACTTTCCAGGAGAGCTGAACAAAGGCTGCACTGAGTACTTCAGCATTTTTGCAACATCCATAAGACTGTTTTTCCTGTTCTTAACAGAAGGAAATTTCATACCTAAGATTCCTTGATTTTCTTAACTGCACTACTCATTTTACTACGTATTTACAAGCTCTTGTTCCTGCTTTCATTTTCTTTGGCTGGACCCTTGCTCATCTAAGGCTTTTAAAGGTTTCAAGATATAGCTAAAAACCAGCCCCTCACTGTGCCTCCTATTTTTTTAATTAGATGGAAGATTAAACATTCAACATTCAAATTTCTAATGTTTAATATTTAACAAGGATAGTAAGTGTTCAGCAGTACCCTTTTTTAACTAGCTAACCCGTACATTTAATCCCTCAGATTATTCTCTCAATAGAACTTTAATAAACTGATTGTTTTTACCCTGCCTCCAGTGCAATGCTTCAAGCCTATTAGTGAAAATTACCAGAATAACTGTCAAATATTGTTATTTGACAATTTATTTATTTAATATTACTATCAATAACGTCAATATTGTCAAAATAATGTCAATACTGTCAGAATATTGTCAAAAATAATGTTAATATTATCAGAATATTGTCAAAAATAATTTCATTTAAAATAAAGATAATGAAAATAATTATATTGGCAGTTTTATACATATATTCCTAATCAATATAAAAAAAAACTTTTTTAAAAATATATTTTTGTGAAAGCCCAGATTTTCCAAAGGTACCTCGTAAGGGTACAAGCTGCTCCTTAAAGGAGGAGAGCACATTTTTACAAAGAGTGTAAAGTGCAACTATTAGGTGGAAGGTGTCGTGAAAACCAAGTGCCACCAGAGGATGAAGCCGCTTTGAAAAGTCAGCCATCCCCTCACGACTTGTTTGTAGGGCTTCCAATCAACATCAATTATATTAATTACAACTGTAACAATTATAAACAAACATAATGAAAATTAACCAGGTTTACAACATTATATTGGGGCCTACAAACCGCTCTGGCACCGGAAATAAAGCAGCAGCACCTACTCACAGCACGGGCCCCGCCGGATCCCCCGCCCGGGCTCCGCTCTCCGGCCAAGGGGGCGACGCACGCCGGGAGGGCGGCACCCGGCTGGGCAGCCCCCAGACCCCGCGCGAACACGTCGCCTCAGCCAGCCGAGCTTCTCCCCGGGCTGGACCTTCCTCCTCCTCCTCCTCCTCCTCCTCCCGTCACGGCCCCGGCAGAGCCGCAGCTCCCACCTGATCCCGGCGGGAGCGCCCGCCGCCGCCGCCGCCGCCGCGGAGGGAGCGCAGTGCGCGCGCGCCGCCCCGCCCGCTGCCCCCGCGGCGCCGGGGCCGCCCCTCAGCGCCGCCGCGGGCGGGGCGGCAGCGCCGCGGCCCGGCTCCTCCGCGGGGGCAGCGGGCGTGCTCGGTGCTGCGGCTGGAGCACGGCTTTCCCGAGCTCCTCCTGGAAACGCTTCCCCGCGGGAAGGATAGAGCGTAGTCCTAGGTTCAGATGCAGATGGCGCGCTGCCCGGGGCAGGTAAAGGCCAGCAAGACCACCCCTTGTGTGGGAGCAATCCGTGGGCACAGTCATTACTGGGGGTGGAATCCTTAGTGATCCTAAGCCGTCCTTAGTGAGGTGATGGGCTCCCGAAAGAGAATGACAGTTCTTCCCGATGGGAATGAAAGCACGTAGCCCCAGAGTTCCAGGTGCAGAAGACACGCTGCCCAGGGCAGGTAAAGGCTAGCAAGACCATTCTATCTTGGTGCCTTTCGCGTTGTATCAACTCCGGGCGTATCTGAAATTGGAGCTCGGTTCCTAATGCCGAAACCGCAGTCGTGAAAGGGAATGGAACACCTTTCCTTGAGACGAGAAGCATCCGGTCTAACTGTTGCTGCTGCCCGTCACCACCTACCCAGTAGAGGCAGAGGCCAGCGAGACCCTTCTGTCCTGGGACCGCGCCCTGCCGACCCGGGCGCTCCCCTCGGAGCGGCCTCGGGGAGCTTGGGGGCCCCAACCCGCCCTCCCCACGCACGGCCGCGCTCTAGTCTCCATGGTGAGGAGCGCCGCTCTTCCCTCCCCTGCCGTCCTTGCTGAGGGCCGCCCATCCTTTCCTTCTCTCCCTCCCCTCCTCGCCGTGGCGTGCGCCCGGGCCCCGCCCCCCAGGCCCGACGGCCATCTTGGCCGGGTGGCGGCGGCGCGAGCACGTTGCGCGCGCGGGCCCGCGCGCGGGATCGCCCACCGGACGCCGTTCTCCCGCCGCGGCGCGAGGGCGCCGCGCGCGCTCCCGCCCCTCCTGCCCCCGGCCCCGCCGCACCCCCCGCTCCCTCCCCACAGCTCCCGGTAAGTAACGCCGGGCGGAATTCCCACCTTCCTGCGCGGGAATGGAGGCGGTGGGGATGGGGCTCCGCTCCTCATGGCGTGCTGCCGGCCCGGCCGCCGCCGCTGAGCTCGGCCTAGGCGGCGGCCTCGCCCATACCACGGTGGGAGAAGGGTCGGCTCGACCGCGGGCCTCAGGGCCGGAGGCTCCCGGGGATCGGGGCTCGCTGCCGGCGTGGGCACGGCCCGGCCGGCACTCCTGCACACGCGGTACGTCATCCCCCACGCCTCGGGTTTTGTGCCAGCCGGGGTCAGGGAGCGCCGGCCCTGCTGCTGCTCCCGGCCGCGGCTGTGGCTTCCCTGTGGATGCAGCGCGGGATCCTCGCCTGCCGGCGGTTGCCTGGCTCTGGGAAAGGGAACGCCGGCATTTTGCTCCTATGAAAACGGGGAACTTCCTGCTTGGGGTCGGGGGGAAAGACCGTATTTTGGCTTCCTTTGCGGGGAGCTGATACCCACGTGGGTGCTTGTGGGACAGTGAGGAGATCAAGCCTTCTTGCCGGGGCGATAGGGTAGCGGAGTGAGGCCGTTTTCTACGAGGTATGTGTAAAAATAAAAGAAGAAGTCGGCAGGCTTTTCTAAAGGACCATGGTGGTGTTTCCTGGCTGGAATGCACTTGAATACTTCACCTGCAAGTTCCTGTGACACTTTTCAGGCCCTAAATTAAGTTTCCCTGCTGTGGTTCCTTCCATAAACTGCAGTCCTAAACCAGGGGTCATGAAATACTTTCATTCGTTTCATTAGATTCCTAATTTATGGGTTTGTTCTCATGCATTTCACTTCTTGTTAAGGGGAAATGTTAAAGATTGAATGATAATTAATACTGCTCAGCACAAGCTAAACACACCCACTCATTGTGCAGCGTCAGTATAGTTGACCATATGCTTTCATGTTAACATATTTTCTTATTCATGTCGTGTCTTATGAGTAACATTATGATTTAATACAGTAGGGAAATCTAGGGCATGTCTAAACTTATTTTTTTTACATTGCCTCAGTTTCTAAAACAAATGTGAAAGCCTTAAGCACATACTAGTTCCTGTATCATTTACTATTGTTTCTGCTTTGATACTTACAAATGTCGTGATCTCCCATATGCAGTTTGAAAATTTGTTTTACCTTTCATTTCCATTTTCTTTGGGTATTCTAGTTCTTGACTTTCTTGTTCTTGTTATGGTGTGACTGACTGTTAGTAGTCCATTAGCAGTGGAATTGGGAGGCAATTCTTGAGCTTGTTTACAATGGCAGCTGGAAATGCTTCTCATCCTCACTTCTTTCCACAGCATTTCTCGCGGAGGTCTAATGCAGTGTAGTTTTATAAAATGTTCACTGGTTTTGTGCAAAGTAACTAAAGCATGGCACAATTCTGAACCCAGACCTTGCCTTCCCATCTTTCATTGAATGGTCTCTGGTTCTGTTTCAGTCTTTGTTGACTTTTAATGTTTAAATTTTTCTTTGTTTAAGCCTGAATAATTCAGCACAATTACAAATCCTTCTCAGTCATAATTGCCTTAACTTAGTAAATTATAATTTAGCTCTAATGCCTGTGAACAAAATAAATATTATTAATGCAAGTACATTGCACATGTTCTACAGATTGTACATTGCTGTTGCCTTCTGTGACAGATAGCAGGGTCTGCATGTGGGCAACTTTTTTTTTTTTGTAATCTCTGTGTGTCAGGGTGTGCAGCAGCTATGTCAGACAGCCTAAGAATGCTGACTTAGAATTCTTCTGATAACATATTTTGTGTCTTGTGTTTAGACATGTTTCATTTTTTGTATTAAATTACATAATTGGACATAATGGGCAGCTTTTGGCTTTAATAAACAATACTGACAGGGATTTAGAATATTTTCTTTTTTCTCTAGCCAGCAGTTTTTAGTCATTCTCACCTTCACCTGTGTTGTCAGTGCATTCTGGGAAGATTTTCTGCTGCTGCACCATCATCATTCAATAACTCAAAACAGCTCTTTACCCTAGTAGTTAGTAGCAAATTAATATTTTCATAATCTGTTTTTTTATTCTGTTCTTCTTGATATGGAAAGGAGAAGCACAGTCATGAAGTCAAGTGCGTCTGAGTACCAGTTTCTCCTGCCCCTAAAGTGCTGACTGCACTACTCAGTTACTGGTGTGCTGTACTGTAACATTGCTGATCTGTGCTCAGTGTCCTGAGAGTTCTACATCTGTTCCTTGGAATCAGACCATCCTATTCCATGTTAATTTAAATGCCACTCAGCTAACTGGGTGAAAATATGTAACTTGAGTTCAGTCTAGTTTTGGACAGTGTTTATTTGTTTCTGAGTTCTAAGTAGATATTACTACTTCCTTTTGTGGACAGTTGTCATTGTAGATATCAACACAGTCCTACAAATATTGCAGAAGTTCCAGGAGTCACTTTTTTTTTTTTTCTGAAAATAGTTAAGACCACTAGAGAGTTTTGGATAAACGGGCACTTCTGTCATGTAGATGGGAGCAGAGTGGGAGGTGTGAGTGTCTTCATTCTGCTTCATTGCTTTTATTCCCCTCACTACTCCAATAAATGCTTAGTGTACATACTTAATTCACTGACCCCTTCAAAACTATTCACCACAGATCGGGCATTTTTGTGTAAGTTAGAATGAAATGTAAATTACATTCTAACTTGCAAGGGCATTTTCCCAAGTAAGTTAGAATTAGAAAAATACCCAAACACCAAAAATACCCAATTCTTTGGGCTGTTTCATTGCTTACCAAGCACAGTCTGATTCAGCAGTGAGTGTAAACTTCAGGCTGATTATCCTGCCAGGACTGTGGAAAGTTTGCTGAGGAACTTGGCAAGAATTGCTTGTTTCAAGCCATATTTGCCTTGGTGTTTTGAGAGCAGCCCTGTCCCACTCTCCTGCTGTGGATCTTCAGGCTAAACCCCAGCTGGAAGGCTGGGTGGCTGAGGGGAGATGTCCAGGCTGCTCTTGGCACTGCTCAGCCAGCAGGAGCTTCGAGCAGGGTTTGAGGGGCTGGGGAGGGCAGCCTGCTGAGCCACATTAGGTTTTGTTCTGGGACAACCCACAGAACTGATCCACTGCTGCCTGCAGCTCAGGTGAAAGATCCACAGTGCTCTGTCTGCTCAGGCCTTGGAGAAAAGGCCATTTAGCACTTCCCTTGGAAAAACAGAGGGGGAATGATTCACCCCCAAATACTCTTTGCACTATAAACTGCAGGATTTTAATGAAAGTCACTGGGATGTCTTTCCAAAGAATGTATCTTTATTTGAAGTAATGACAACATCCAGTATCCCTCCCCAAGAAAATTACCCTCACTAAAGCACCTTTACAGTCTTCAAAAATAAGGCTTTCAGTTTGTTGTTTTCTGATATATTAAAGTGAGAACTGCAGACTCATTATTCCATGCCTTTTGGCCTGGGCTATAGATACAATTTCAATGTTCAGCCCTACTTTGTCAGTCTGGTCTGACAATACAGAACTGTTTAATCACTTTTAATTGTTTTTCTTATATTCAGTCATTTACTTGAAAATAATAGCTGTGTTAATAGGACTTTCTGGCTTAGGAAATTTAAAATAGTAAAAGAAACGAAAGAAATGTAAGTAGAAACTGCCACAATATGGTTGGCAGTGTGACTAATAGTTGCATTCATTTATAGATGATGAAGACTGTCTTTTGACATTAGTTTAAAAATACTTTGGGAACTGAATAAAGGAATAAAACTACCAGTTTTTAAAGGAACCACTTAAAATATTTGTGCCTATGGTAGTAACGGATTTAAGGATGCAGTAACATCTGCTTTTCTGACCTTTGCTGTCCATCTTCCAGATATTGCAGTAGTAGCTGGAGGA